TTTATTAATAGGTATCGTTCCCAACCCGGTTTCATAAAACATTTTTTAACACTTGATTTCAATAACAATAAAATGTACACAAATATCCGCAAAAGCAAATCATATTTTTGCAAAAGTTGGCTTACGGTAAAATCACTTTTCAAAAGAACCTATGCTGAACACAATGAATTGTAAATATTTAGCAAACGGTAAATACACAGTTATAAGAATTATCCAACACAAGAATGTAATTACAAATTCTTGAAAACTGACTAGAATAACCGTTTCACACTAATCATAGTCGTCGCAGTGCAGTAATTATTCAGTGCGAATATAATGGTCCAAGTGTTTAACTCGTCACGTAGACATATTTCGATAATTATATGAATTTCCAGCCCATAAAGCGAAGAGGAAATTTGGCAGCGGATCGTAGCACAGATGACTACGTCTCTATGCTAAGAAATCTATAGGCTGTTTACTTGGAGCATGACACACGCCAGTAGCCGTGCAGAAAACAGTCATCTCCACTAAAGGCGAACCGATTCCAAAACCACAAGAAAACACACAATGCAAATCAGCGCTCAGTGCTCACATATACACACACTGCCACATATCGGTCAACTGAAAAATTGGACCAATCAGCAGTGTGTCCATCCACTCAGCTGACGAGATGGCAATTAATCGATTAATGAAGGGATCTGATTGTTGAGCTCGTCGTCTACTCCGCCCGGATTAAAGCGCATAGTCACCTGTTGCTGGGGCAGCAACTGTTTGTACAAGGCAAATTCAAAATTACCATTTTGTCGGCTTGGATGTAAGCGCCAAGTGAGACGGAGAGTAAAAGAGCAGAGAATGCGCATTAGACAAACACCGTATACACTTTCCATCAAGTGCGGCAGAGACACACACACGGCTTAAAATGCGGCCCTGTTGTAAATACCACGGTGCTCTAACCGATTTTACAATAGCGCATAACATATCGTAAACTGAGAAATTTACTACTGCTCGACATATATAAAATCCATTCCTGTCTTCCTGTTTCGCGGCAAGTGTGAAACTGTTCGGCGAAACATTTTTGTCCGTCTATGAAGTCGCCTGAGAGTCAGAACGGCTCGGCGGTGATGGTCACATATATTCAATATTCGCTTAATATACTTGTTTTGGGTGAAAAGTAGCCACGCCAGCTTAAATGGCAAGAGAAGGAGGAAAAGCAGGTTTTTCCAGAAACTGGTTCACACACACCGGTTTACCAATAAACATCAGCGAGATATATAACCGGTTAAAAATAGCCGCCGCTCTTGCCCCGCTCTCTCTCTCACTTTTCTACCGGCCGCATGAAAACATAACCAGTTTTTTTACCGTCTCTCCTACCATGGTAACCCAATTGGCTTACCTGTTGGATGCTGAATCAGTGACGGTGGTTGTTGTTGTTGTCGGAGGTGAGGAGCGATTGGATGATGCGGATGATGATGATGCGGGTGAGGATGGTGAAGCAGCAGCAGTACCGGATGCGCCGGACACAACAACACTACTACTCTCATCGGGCATAGTCGAATGCTCTTCCCTCGTCTATCTCTTACCCTCTTTTGCGTCTGCGATGCCGTGTGTGGTGTAGCCCAAAGAATTACACCCACAGAACCTTTAAGGAGAGATTTGTTAAGGCGCTTGTACACGCCAAAGCAGCAGCCGGAGCTATACGCCGTGTGCCAACCGGTAGCTGCTGGATAATTTGCAATTGGATTGGAGCAGACCGGTTTTAGGCTGGTGCGGTGATGTACGCCATTGTACGGTTTCTGTGTGCGCGTCTGCGTGCTTGCCGGTTGTCTGTATGAGTCATTAAACACCGACGGAGAGGAAATGTGCTGGTTGGCCCGTCCAGGTGAACGCTGTGTGCAGGTAGCACTTGTTGCTTCCGGGAACATGCAAGTTTTAAAAGTCTCTCGAAGATCCCATTTTTATATGGGTGACACTCCCATGGCTTTAACGAAAGCAATATAAGCCTAAAAATGGAACATGTCTTGCAAAAAGAAATAAAAAAGTAAGCTGTCGGTCTAAACATTATCATATTCAAAAGCATATTTGCCGGAGACAAATTGGTATATTGAACGAAATTAGCATTTTGGTAATTAAAATTCTGCATTATGAATCTGATTTGTGCTTATAGGTTTGATCTAATATATTCTTGTAGAAAAATGTATGTTTGCCGAAGGTGTACTCATCATGCAGGTAAGTGTACGTACACCGGTGTACGACACTCTTTAAAGTTAAATATGACGACCGACGCGCGTCACCTCCTGCCACAAAATTTTCTTGGACGACGGCAACGTTATAGGCGATATACACGGTATATGGTATTCTTTTTGTGTGTCCTTCTGGGAGATATTTATTATGGTGCACCTCTGTGCCGCCGCATACCTGGATGGCTGATCTGTAAAGCAAAGAAAGTGCTGGTACTTGTATACATTCTTCAATGTGCAGTTATGCGGTAATCATTGTTGAAGAAAATATATTCTCGGCGCTTTTCCGCCCCGTCAATCGTCATCCATCGCCGGCTCAGGTGTGCAGGATGTAACATAAGACGCTTTTTCAAGGCATTATTTACAGGAGGCCGGTGCAGTGTGCGCATGTGTGTATGCAGGTCGTACGCTGAACCACAGCCAAAAGTGCCGGGAGGAAGTCATTACCGCTTGTAAATGTCGGCATTCATATATCGCGAAAGATTTGTTCTATGGTTTGTTCCTGATGTTTTTTCTTCATGCCCAAATGTTCTTTGTCATTCAGAGTTTTATACTATCGCATGCAGAACATTTATTAATGAACGAAAATTGTTGTTACTTTGTATAACGATCATAGGCCCAGAGATGAGTTTGCAGTTACATAACGCTTACTGTCGCGCAAAAGCATGTAACAGCTACGCTGTACTTTAAACGTTTACCCGCAGTCCGCACTAATAATTTACTATAATATAATTATGCTACTTTTGCAGTTTAAAAGGTTTTTAATGTGCGATGAAAAAATATTATGGTTTATTATTTAATGTAGCTTCGATGCGGCAACGCATACATGTAATAATCAACAAAATGGTTTAGAGATGGCCTGATTAAAAAAACATGTATTTATGCTATATATTGTTAGCGCAGATTTGTAAAATGCTCATATTCATAATATAAAATCAGTTGCTAATTTTTAAGTATCAATGTAATTGACCAACGTCAATTAATTATTTTTTGTGTTTTTCAACAGATGAAAGTTTTATTGGTGATTTTAATGTAGAAGTACTTCAGTAAAGCCGGCGTTATGTGCCGTATGACCGTGCCATCAAGCATAGAAGTGGGCATAAAAGAGCATTTGAGTCAGACGGAAACAGTAGTCGTCAGGCGCAGTAAAAATTATCGCCTTAAGCAAGCAAAATACCATAACGAAAATCTACGGCTGATAAATAGACAGGCACATAGGATATAGCACTTGAAATGTATGAGCACCGGAACATGGAAAGGTAAACTTGGAGGATGCAATTTAAAGTGGACAGATAGTGATCATACCGAGCTGCTACTGTGCCATAGTGTACGAGTCATCCTTTTCATGATCAGGCGGTGTTTTAGCCACTGCCAGTCGACCTTATCGCGCATCGTATCCATTTACGAAAAGAATTCATTAAAATGCCTGCATACGTAATTATCTCCCGAATATATACGTGTTCTCAGCATGTGTGTCGGTAATCATGTGAGCAATTTTCTCTCCTGTATGGATATTGTTGTAAAGCTGATTATTAGTGCTTTGCAGCTCGTGTTTCCATCGTTAAGGCTTATGTTTAGATTTACAGTCTTTAAATGCCTGCAATTACATTTTTGGTGGCTGATATAATTATGAATGGTTGTGCAGTTTAGACAAGTTACAACCAACTAAAATTATTTCAAGGCACAGTTGCATCAAAATCTTCGAAGGCAAGGCACGAGAAACTGTTATCAAGGTCAAAGGTACGAGGGTTACTCGGAAAGTAATGATAACTATCGCACGATTTTTATTGCATCAGCGCTTTCCTCGTATTTTCTCAAAACAATGTCCCTTAATCTCTATACAACGCAAACAGCTAAACAGCCACTCATCAAACGTTTTCGAAAAGAAATTAGGCGGTATCTTAGAGATCGGTGTACTGATATTTTCTTCCAGTTATTCATAATTTCAAACTTTTTGCCCCGCAACAATTTTTTCAAGCCAGGAAATATTTGGAACAGATAAAGGACTAAGGTAAACTAAGAAAAATAATGTGGAACGATAATTTTACTCCAGGCCGAGAAAAAAATAAATCAGGGACGGGGTGCTTATCTGTGGATTTTCGCGATATTGCACCACACGGATGATACCGTGCCAGAAACCATTTTCTTCTGCGTTATCAGTAAGCAGCTGCAGCACACTCTCGACACCTTTCCTTCCATAATGATTAGACCCTCTGCTATTGCTTCGGGGTCGGAAAAGGATCCTTCTCGATCAGGGTTTTGACTATGATTACTTTTCGAAAGTGGAAACTCAAAAAATATTCCAAAATTTGAGCACCGTTGTCAAAACGGAGTGCTCGGTGGGAGTTCGCTGGAACCAACTGGCAACATCAGCAAAGAATGGTCCTTATTAAGGCGACAGAACAGGCAATACAGCATGAAAAATTCTACACTTCTCTCTGCAAATCAATTTTTCAAAATAATATCATGAAAACTGGCCAGTAATTAAGGCAACGCTTTCAGTGATCAGTGAAAAATCAGCGCTACCCAGCCATGTTCAGAGCCTTGCTAGCCGCCAACCTTAGGCGGTATGGCCACGGCCATTGCCCTATGATCTAGTTATGAATGCTACAGTTTTTAAAAAATCAGTGCATAATTTTATGATTATTAACTGATACTGATTATCATTACTTTCCGAGTAACCCTCGTATATACAAATGCACTGTAATAGAATGTGTTCGCACGCGATGGGCACATCACTAACAGAAGTACTGCACTGCGCGCAGATACAGTCATGTACAAGTATCACTCAAAAATGAAGAATTTAATGCGCGATGAAGGAGACAAATTACGGGATTTTTTTGTTTCTTACAAATCAATGAGTGTAATGGAAGTGCCGTGGTTAGTTCGGTACGAACAGTAATAACCGCATATCAGTAAAAACGTGATTTGTCGGATAAGCACATGCATGTCTGATCTTTTATATTTCTTTTTTGCATTGGCTTGGCTTCTCCCCCTGAAATACAATTTATTCAGTCGGCGAGATTGAGCAGAGCTTTAAGTTAAAAAGTTCGAGTTTAATATTACGTGGTACATAAAACTTACTGTGGCACATGTGGTACGAAATGTATAGATATATATACTCGTATATTTATATATCCTTACCATTAGTTGCAGACACTACCACTTACGAGTAGATAACCAACGATGTTTTTACTTTTTTAAACTAAGTAAGATGTACGGGCAGATACTTAGGTATTTACAGTTACAGTACTGCGATAATCAACAAGGGACTGAAGGGAGCCGATGTGCAAAATTTCTAGTCCTATGCGCTTAAAAGATAACGAGACAATACATACAGCTGCCGATATAAATAAATGACTAGGACAAATTAATGACACTAAATGATTATAAATAAAATTGCAAATAAAGTTCCTGTACATGTTCTTGGGCGTACAGGTTTACAATTATTACTGTAATATTTTGTAAAAAATATTACTCTTTTACATAGGTAAAAAGCTCACCGTGTACAGATCGCACACCAGTCCAGTCAGATCCTGCAGTGCTCGGTCTTGATTCGCTTCGGTATGAGCCTATATTGTACACACAAAGTATTTGAAATGTATAATATTATCATATTATCATTCTATCATGTAGTTACTCGTAAACTGAAATACATGCATATAGATATAATAGGAAAGTGTAACACTGTAAACATCATTTTAAAAAAGAAACTGCACCAATGACTGCTACACGTCATACAGATACGATTACAGGAACAAGCATGGTTAAGGTCAATTTTAAACGATATTTTGGGGTATTGCAACGAGTCTGCGCTTTCATTATAATTATACGGATGAAATAAACTTGAATGATTCAACCGCCTAGACGTGCACCTAGATAGCATTGTCAAGGTGGAATATTGTTACAGTACTAGTTATTCTTTAAACTGCACAGTGGCAAACGTGCAAATAAATTCAAATTCAATACAGTGTAGTATGTGACTTCCAGAACTGATAATATTATACGCTACACAAATTGCGCTTTTGTTTTGAAACCATTTGATTTGTTTCTTAAGTATACAAGTCGGTAAATTTTGCTAGTTATGTTCACAGTTCACACTCACACAGTATGATATTTGCATATTACATACAGACTGCATTTATGATATTATAAAACTATTATTGGTTTATATACATATTACTGTACAGTAGATTATAGTCACCCCGTTAAAATTGATCCAAGGAATGAAGCCTGGTTGAGGATTTAGCGCTTCGGTTTTTTGTGCCATAATATGTTGGAGATAATTGCCTTCTGATCCCTTGGCACAGGCGGATATAGGCCCATATTTGATTCGCTGTTTCTTGGCGCACTAAAAACAATTAGAATTAATTGTTAAGCTGTACAGCTGTAACGAAAATCCATGCATCTTGGTAAATACTTGCATACTGTGTAAAATTTCCAGAAAGCAGGCCGGATTCATACTATTCTGTTGTTTTTTTTTTATAAAAAAATTAATAATTTTGAGTTGTAAACATGTTGAGTTGTCAAAAGAACGTGTTGAGCTGTAAAAAGATTTCTATGAATACGAGAGAAAACGTCCAAAATGTACGTCGTATCTGCACTCTGGTAGTCCGTTTTTCAAAGGGTACCATAAAACAGTTAAGTACCCAAACTCCGAAAGATAGCAATCACAAACTTTCTGCTGGATTGTGTTAATCCAATAAGAGAGACAAAGTCATGCATTTTTAAATGGAGAAATCGATAGTAAAATGGAAATTTAATTCTTAAATACACAATGTCAGCGCTACCTTCGGACCAGCTGTCGACGGATCCTCCGAGCTTTCCATACAATTAACAAATTCAATTTCCTTTGGAACAGTGTCCTTTACACGATGCAAATAACTTCCGGGTCCTGGATCGAGAAAATGGATGGCACAAGACTGAAGCATAACAAACAGCTAGAATACGTATTATGTTTCGGCAGCAAAAGAATTCTATATGGATACAATATCCCCCCCAATCAATGCGATGAAGGTCAGCCGGTAATCGATGCAGAATCAAAAAATATGTAGATGTTGTTACGTTGTTCATAAAATTTGGCTGAACAATATTTGTGTAATATTGAATTACCGGGAACATAACTATACAATACCTGAATGATGTTTGCTTTACATTCCTTTGGACCATGCTGACATTTGAATACCCATTGTCCGTCGACGAATGTTTCCTGCATGCATCGATAATACGAACAACCATTATTATTATTCTTACAGCATTCTGCAACCTTTATAAAAATGAACTAAACATATTATAAAGAGACTGAATGGGATATCGAATTGTTTTACGCATAAATACAGACTGTGTTTTGTATAGGTAATTACCGCACAAATGTGAATCTATGCATACAATCTGGGACATATATACCTATTAGTAATGAGATCCATTTTGATCTCGAACTGTTTTACGCATTAATATTTTGTGTAATTACTGTTTAAATGTTTACATCATTATTGTTATAACAGTAAAACGTTTCGGTAATGTCTCTCACGCATTATTTAAATTAACTCGATCAAAGTTAAATGTGCACTCTGGGATATTAATTTTGCGGATAATCAACGGTTATACAATCACAGTTTTTGCTTCGTGATTGCATATAAGTATGTAAGCACACCCCAGATTCGTAGTAGCAATAAAGATCTAAGACAGCAAGACGTAGTTCCGGGACGGATTAAACCATCCCGTTTCACCGGAAGTCAACGTCTAAATACCGTGGCAAATCCGTAAGGAATTAGGGAAACATTGGCTATGTGGCCGATCGACTGCATGGTCGGGTACAGCTGTTTAACGATAAAATCCACACTATCCGGGCACAAAGCTTCGTAATAGACATCAACAATCACCAGTGGAGCATCGTTGACGGCGCGGTTCTTTAGGAGTAATCCCGCTCCGACATGGAAATAAGCAAGAATTCCTAGAAATCCTATTCTGCTCCACATTATAGGTGTTTATACTAACAAAGTCAAAAAGCTTTTCCTAACACAAAAAGATTTCGATATACAACGTTAAGCACTGCTCAGCAGGCAATTAAAAATTACCATCAATGCTAAATGCAACAAGCATGCAGTAGTTATCAATGGCGACTACTGAAGTATTGTACACTAAAACCTAAATATGTATTGTACACTGTTACCAGATGTGCCTGTTTCGAGCTTAGAACCAGCCACAGCAGGTGAACGTTCGGTGCCATATTAGATGAGTTAATTATCTAAAGACAACATCTGATAATGCTGTTTACCGCTGCCAGCTCTGGCAATATTTATGCACACGTATGTGGAAATACGATTCGTCCAATCAACAGTAAATGGGAATAGCATTAATGTTCAAAGGTCAAAGTTAGCCGGACGCTGTAAGAACTCTTGGATGATTAAAGTAATCATCTGGAGCACAGAGAATTTGAACGAATACAGGAAGCTGTTGTTCCTAGAAGGTTAGCGTTATTGTGACATGAAGCAGGAAGTATATATATGCATCTCGTTAATCAACGATTCAGTACATCTTAACTTGTTGTTTTTGGGGTTACTAATTGTGGACGATAAAATAAGTAATTACGGTGCAAGGTATTTGCTGTCTAATAAAATTAACGGTCAAATAACATGTTACAATGCTCCAGTTAGTATTTTTAGTACAATTTACGAAACGTGCTCGTATGCGTGCAATTTGATGCTAATGAATTTACATGTAAACATGCAATCAGCAATAAAACTGAACTGTAATCACCCATGGCATAACTTGATAATGCTACCGACATCGATTTTCTTATTATAAAATAATGTGCATTGATCAGTGGTCAAGCGATGTTAAATCGAACGAGGTATCACGTGCGGCTTTCATGGGCATTCTGGTATTCCTGGGAAACCGTTTCGGGATTACAGAAACCATTGCTGTTTAAACAGTATATAAATAATATTAGACAATTTTAAGGTTTCGGTTTCTGCGCAGACTACTCGTAGCTACTGCCGTCGCAGTAGTGGGCTTTGTTTGCCTTTATCCAGACAACCTATTGGAAATCGTTAAGTTTCCGGTATGTTCATTCCGACATTGAGACTGATTGAGCGTCATTAAACTGTCAACTACTACAGCTTAAATATTCATTGCCAAATACGTCACTAGCATCGATAATCCACTTTAAGGCACTTATGTACGTATAAGGATAAAATAGCGGGTTGGTTGCACCATTGTCGAGCATCCCGATGAAAACACTGCAATTTGCGTGCTACAAAAGCTCAAACGTTTATATCATTGCATTTAATAACAAAAATAGCTCTGACTCTGGTTATAATTCGTCTGCAGACGGTAATTGACGTAACAATGGCATACTTTTTAGGCCTCCCGATCTCACACGAAATCATATAAAAAATATGCATGACCTTTCCTTCTACAGCCATGGTAAAAGTTGGTGACAGAGCCAACAACATTTATTCAAGTGAATTATTTTCCTCGTGTAAAACTCAGGGGACCAGTGGCAATCGTTGTTAGTTCGCTGGCTAATTGGCTTTCCCATGAGCCAAGAAAAACATACAGCCGCTCCTGCGTGCTGGTTTCGATGCCATGACTGCAGCTGCAGGACTTGTCGTTCGAACTCTTTTTCTCCGTAATACCGGCAACTACCGAAAGGAGTTTACTTGTACACAGTAATTTACGGATCCCGTTTCGATAATCGCTATCCATTGCCGAGCAAAATATCTGCAAGCAAATTGATAAATATAATGGCGCTTACAATTAATGTAACTGCAACATTTAGTCACAATCAATCACAATAATCACAATCACAATAATAATCACAATATGGCAATCACAATAATTATTGATTTTTGTGCGAGGTATGCATTCCGCAGCTGTTAATGTTACTGTCCGCAATTTTTTTACAACCGTAGGTCATAATTAATCAGAAAATTTTTTCAACAAAGATTTATCCAAAAATCAGTGTTCAACTTATTCACCACAGTACTGTAATAAAACAATGTTCCAATAAGCGTGTGCTTAATAAATTATTTTGTTTACCGGCGTCGCAACAGTACCGCATACAACTCCGGTAACGAGCCACAATACAATATACGAATACTTGGAATACAGCGTCCGTTTGAAGGTCCCGATGAGCGGGATGGGCAGGAAACACACAAGATACCATAAGTAGGCCATGAACAAGATCTTCGCCACCGCCAAGCGCCTCTTCACCCTCCGCTGCGCCGTCAAGGAGTCCACGTGGCACTCAGAGCGCCTCTTCTTCAGACACTTCTGCCGGCAGCTAATGGTCACAAACAACGTCACATAGATAATCCCCATCAACAAGAGGGGAATATACGTTCCAATGACACTGGCGATCTGGTAATACTGTGTCGCACTCTGACGAATCCCACAATTGCCGACCGGTGGGACTTTGGCGAAGAGGGGATTATCCGTGGCGTAGAACGGCAGGTTACACAACGCCGGTATCAGTACACTGAGCACTATCATGGAATAGATGACCCGGTGACCGGTCCATGCTTTGTACTGATAAGGGAAAATGGTGGCCACAAAACGATTAACGGCTAAGAACAGTTCCGTCCAATGCCGGGTTTGCAGGGTGACAATGTAAAAGAACTGCAATGTGGGACAGTGGATCAGCGGCAGCGCGATGCCCTGATGGATGACGAAGGAAGTGATGGTTTTAAGGGGTGTCATAAAGGAGCACTGAAAGAGCTCAAGGCACAGGAGGTAAAAGATGAGCATACCGGCACCGTTGCGCAGGGCCTTTTTCGATATGATGACGGTGATTAGGAGAATGATGGAGACGGTGCCGAAGAGACAAATGGTCATCGTTGTACTGAACCAAAAGGTTAGGGCGGTGGGCGACACAACGGTCCGGTTTGACCACGGAAATGCAGCGGTTATGTTCGGGTTGGACATCTTCCAGGTATTTGATATATTATAGTAAAACACAAAGGTTAACTGCCGTTGACGCGCAGATATAATGCGTCAATCAAGATGTGCTTAACAATTTTGGTGGGTGCCGCGATGAAGCATTATTATCATTTTAAAAAATTTCGAATAGTTTCTCTTTCAGATTACTACACCGAATATTCCATGGTCACAGCAATATGTGCAGTACCGCAACAAAGAGCGCGCGCATCATTGAAAATAAGGACCTAACACAAGAGAGACGTCGACATTTCAATAACAACCAACCAGTTAGATAAGCCGGATATGACAACTATAGAAAATTATATGTCAGCAATTAGCGCACCATACCGGTGACTAAGAAATATGGTAGGTACGCGGATAGGCTGATGTGCTATATCCCGCAAATAAATCATGTTACATCTGTCTCCTCCCGGTTTAATGGGAAACACATTCCCAGAAACTACTATCACTATATAAGGGCCCACGGCACTAACGGTACCTCCTACCATATGGTTGACAGTCGACAGGGATCCGTGGAGTAATTGCTGACCCGGGAAGAAATTACGGGCCCGCAGCCAGATCTAAACAATTAAGGCAGTCGTTGTACCGGTATACCGGGGTTGTTGGTTAAAATAACAGATCGGAGAATGTGGGCGCACCCGGCAATTCAGCGCGCATTGTAACACCAGTAAGTGCTGTATTGTATTTTATGTGTGCGGTATGTACAGTACGTAATGGGGTAACACGATTGCGAAAAAATCGATGAATTTTGTTTGTACTTTGCAAGTGCCGCTGGCAGTGGTTCTTTACTTGAACCACTAATAAATAAGATATCAGTCCGTATGTGGGCAGTGGGCACGTTTAATCTAAAAACGCGCCTGTATCTGGCACTACCGTAGAACAGTGTTTATGCACTGCCTTGTTCAAGAAAAACAGATTGCAAGGCCATTCATCCCGTACTCTACTCCTTGAGAGAGATAGGGTTTGGGCATACGTATGCATAAATCGTATTGGAATCATTAGTTAGTGCAATATGAACAACTTGCAGCTGTGACACGAGAAAATACCGGTCGCGTGATCTGTCAAACTTACATCGACAAGTGGAGCAATATCTATATACTAAACAGCTTAACAGCTGAATTAAATCAACCGCGCAATTTTACACCCCCACCAAAATGTGTTACCAATAAGTGATTTAGTCGGAAAATTGTAATTCACACTGTGCAGTACACGCAATGCTAGACACCATGTTTTATGCTGCGTTATTATGCTGTCTGCTGCCGATCGTGCTGGATCCATATGAAACCGAGGATGAGAATATTATAATGCAGTAATGTGTGTAATTACCGTTTGTGCTATTTGTTTTGTAATACTACGAGTACCTCGTAATTTTGACGGAGCCGGGGTGGGAGCCAGGCCTAGCGCTTAACAAATTACAGTTCTTGATTTCGCTTAGTACGTATAGTATAAAATGTGATATTTTCTAACCATTTTTGTATTAAAAAATAAAAAGCAATCACATCAGTTATACCAGCTGCACCGAGCCAATACAATTTTCTCAAAAATTAATACAAGTCGAGGCCTAGCGCAGTATATCTGTAGCTGTTCCACAGCGGAAATCCTCCAAGGTTAGCTATTCCACAACGGAAATCCTGCAAAAGTTAAACCTCACCTCTAGGTATCAATTATAAAGATCCGTACAGAACGGAAATACGATCACTGGAATATCTTTGCCGATCATACGACTATAGTAGCGGTCGATCGCAGCGACGGACTGCATTCCTTAAAGTTTATACCAACCAATTTGCATTAAAGACTACATCTACCCGATTAGTGGTGCTCAGGACTAAGGAGTAATGCATAAACATTGAATACGCTTAAAACAGTTAAAGGGATTATGCAAAAATCTTCCTTAAGCATGTCTGCTTCGAACAACAATCGCGTTCAGTACATGATGTATTCGTAAATGTTAAAACAAGGTAGGTGTGTTAAGCTGACACAAAGTCTACAAAAGAAAAGTCTACACAGCAGGTGACTGCTTGTTTCTTGTTTGAGGGAACAGGCAGGAAAGGACGTAAAAAAGCTGTGGACATCGCTTCTTTCCTACAACGCACGCAAAGTAGAAAGAAGGAAGCATCAAAAACCGTAAAAAATTGGTGATGCGCTATGACACAGCGGGATAGGCAACAACTCTTGCAGTTAGACACGAGTACTGTAATATGTACTTGTAGTAACTGCGGTAGTTTTTTTCCCGTTACTTGATGTACGCGCGGCCAAAGAGACTCGATCGAATTTTTGTGTAAACACGGATTAAATTTGCAAGGATTTCCTTCAGTAAAATTTTTTATGCGTAATTGCATTTGCGCATAACTTGCATTTGCGTTTTTAATTTGCAACATGAGCAGTTTTTTACTTTATCCCGGAATGACTGCAGCTCTGTGATGCACCTTACCATATCCGGCATAACGGCATATAAAATAACCAGCTACAAGCGGGTTAAATATACAACCAACCTTGAGCGCATAGTTTCATTACACCTTTTACAAGATTTTACAAGCTCTAATAGCTAATTTTTTGTGAACTGCTAATTACCTGTCACAGATTTTACAATGGCTTTCAAAGTCTATGTCTGCTTGTCAATTATGATCGCAATGATAACCTTTCGTAAGTACTCACCTGTATTTAAGGCGGACGCCATGTCTAATTTCAGATAATTTGCTAATTGTATTGTGTACCAGGGGGCGAAATATTATTTTTATTGATTTTTGTTTAAGTTTTAGCACGGGAAGGGGATGCAACAGCTTGCGCCGGACTGGGCACTTGTGGATGTTACAAGAACTGGTGCTGGGCATACGCCAGCTGGAACAAAATGCAGACCGGAGATCCCTGGTGCTACACTCAGAAACTGGGCGTGGCCAGTGGTCTGAAACAGTGGGCAAAATGCAGTGCAGATCACGAGTGTCATCTTGAGATGACCTGCGGAGACGGTCAACGATACACCGGATCGCTTTAACTGGATTGTATAAGGGACATCACATTAGTTGCTTCTATTCTTATCTGACTAAGTCAGATAAATGCCTAATTTATGAAGGAATCTCCGTGGGTGTTTAACTGATAAAAACCAGAAAACTAAAAATAAAAATAAATTCTAAAATAAATTTGTTTATTGACATTCAGTAAATTATATACACGTTATAGACATCTAATATAAAAATAGAGCAATGGAACACAACCGTTTAAGTAGCAGTATTTTTCATATAATACTGTAAATACAAAATAGGGCCGCTGAAAATGGTCCTGTCGACTGTTAGCTATCCTGTTGCCCTTACGAAACGAAGTCCTCTGATTAACAGGCCAATGCACTGGTATGCACACTGCATGAGTAGCCCGTGCACGGGATAGCGTGGAAGTAATGATGTGCGCACTCGCAAGTAGACCACCTACCATATTTAGTTCGACATCGCATACTCGTACGTCTACAGTATGGTCTGTGACAAATTCGAAGCGCATATGTATACGAAAATGCGGTTGTCCATCAGGCACACTCCATGACTGAACCTTGGTTGCAAAAGGTCACCAAGGTTTTCCTAAACGAGTGTTTCCATACGATCGTGTGAACGTGTAAGAAGAATCATTCTCAGCCACGATTTTTCCGCCAAGAACGTAAATTTGAAATCCCAACACGATAACGGCATAGTTGTTCCTGCAGTGCGGCATATTTGCTAAAGCTTCCCATAATTCGTTGGTCTCCGGACGTCAAAGCAATAAACCCATCGATGGGGGCTCGTACCACAACAAACTATCTTGTTACCGTAACGGCATATCAAAGGAAATGAAAACCTAACAAAAAGCGTAGTTTTAAAGGTTCATTTAGTATTGACCTTTTGGACCGACCTACTGCTGGACCGATCGGCGATCCAAAGGCAACTACGGAATTCTTGCTACGCTGCCGTCTGAAATATTCACAGCTTGCAGCGGCCAGCGGGAAAGAAAGCAATCCCAGAAATATAGTTTACTGCCTAGTTACCGCAGACTGATGGTAGTTTAAAAACGATGTCGCAGATGAAAATAGTTCTGCCACGCTTTTTTCCCATATCCCCAGGAAATTGTTTTAATTTTTTCTAGCAGTTCGAATAATCGGTCGTCCACTTGGAAAAGTAGTTTATTATCGACACGAATAGCGAACGTAAAAGTTTCGTACTGGGTGGTCTTGACGGTAATTTAATACCAATCAGATCGTTCGACGCCGGTTCAAACAAATGAGCGGTGTATGCCAAAATTAAAATAGTGAAAGATAAGGATACCGTTTGGCTTAATTTTGCGCCAGTTCTTTCCAGAGAACCATGCAAATATCGGATGTGATTAACAGAAAAGCATTGTGAGCAGCCTTCTATGAATGCGGACTGTGTTATGCAGGATTTGGCTGCTTTGTACAGATTGTCGATAACGCGTAAACGGGCGCATTCTTTTGTGCGTTTCTTATACAGCAACTTTCCGTCATGCCCGCACCACAATTGGCCAATTCCAGCGTAATACACCCCAAACTCCAGATGTCGGTCTTGCGACCAACAGACTGGACACTGTCGTCTGACACCTTGACAAACTTGATCAGCATTTCGGGTGACATATGAAGAACGGTGCCGTGCAGAATGGAAATGTCATATGGACTGGTATCACTGTGATGCCTTTGAAGAATGTCGTCGAGATCAGCAATACGCAGGACATGATGACCTTTGTCGCGAATATCCACAAGAATATTTGCTGGTTTCAAATCGCCATGAATGATTTTGTTCTGGTGAAGAACTTCGACTCCCGGTGTAGTTCACATAACACACATGTACAATGTACGACAAAAAGAGGTTGAACCGATCAGTCGGTCCGCGGTTTGAAATAACCTCGCAACGACACGCCACCACTAAAACTTGGACGCTTACTCACTACTTTTAGACGCTCGCGCTCCGTGAATATCAAAGTGCAGCTATACTAGTTGCATATCAAAAGGTGTAGAAAAAAATTTTAAACTTTTTGATACTAAACCTGTGGCTGTTTATGGCGAACAGCACAAATTCTAGCCATTTTGCTTTCTCGTAGGCACAGCATAGGAACTGTGCGCAATCGCATAACCGTTTGGCTTGCCATCAATGCTTAAGTCTATGGGAAAACAAAATGGCTAGAATTTGTGTTGTTCGCCATAAACAGCCACAGGTTTAGTATCAAAAAGATTAAAATTTTTTTCTACACCTTTTGATATGCAACTAGTATAGCTGCACTTGATATTCACGGAGCGCGAGCGTCTGAACTCTGAAAGTAGTGAGTAAGCGTCCAAGTTTTAGTGGTGGCGTGTCGTTGCGAGGTTATTTTGAACCGCGGACCGACTGATCGGTTCAACCTCTTTTTGTCGTACATTGTACGTATAGCCATTGTTGCCTGGTCGAGTCGATGCGAAATCTCACTACAAATTTGGAAAGTAAGTAATGCCCTTATGTCCTTACAGCATTTAATTAACGGCGCTGGTACTGGCGACACTAACACTGGCAGATGTAGAAGTACCTTCTTTGCAGCTACAACAATCATAGGGCATTAATTTTATTAACATTATGGAGCTTTCGAAGCTAACCTACTGTAGCTGATGCTTACCGTTAGTACAGTAGTACCTGCTGATATGTGAGATATTGTTTACATACAGTTTTTGACCTGTTTGCTGGATCCTCAAGGATTTATTACGTGCATGTTTATTTCACATTACCAGATATTTTTTATCTGTGGCCAAAGCCAAACTAGCCGCTTCATTTTTGTGTTCTTAATAAGAGATAATTATATCATTGTTATAATCTGGGGAGATCTGTATTTGAGATCGCGCAAAATCGCCTTAGTGGATGGTGCTTCTGACTGCAATGTTCATTTTGCCTCATTTGCCATACACGGCAAACTCAACTCATCGTAAAGTCATCGTTATTCTTACCGCCTGCTGCGCAGTTCTGCTGTTTTTCCATTTGCGAAATCGGGTTTATCTTTTGCCTTTTCCACGGCGAACCTGTTATATGTGCGATGATCCCGTGGAATGTGCGAAAGGAAACTTTGCCAATTCGGCTTACTTTTACCGGATGTCGTGCGCCGAAGGCTGTGAAATATCATTTACAAGGGAGCGTACGCTAAATTTATAATAAACAGACCCGTTTCGGACTGTTGGTGTGTTTACCGCCGAATATTTTTGCATTCACAGATGCCACCATCAGAGGATGCGCTAGGAAACGGGAATCTATGCCAGTAGAAATGCATTACAAATGCCGACATCAAAAAGTCATCCCTAGTCCTGACGAGGAAGAAGGCGCGCTCGTTGTCGACAAGATTAATTGTGTTTGTGAATATGATGACCTGTGTAACCGGTTATTAGAATCAGATTTTAAAGAGATGTTTAGAAAGCATGATGCAAAGGAGTTGTTAGGCTATTCTGCTGATGAGCCTCTCCCTTTTCTGCACACTTTGGGAAATCTATCGTACGCGCTTTAATAATTTTATAATTAGCGATCATAATGCTACAATTAGATGCGAGTAAATTATTACACTGGGTAGTTTCGCGGTTGTCTGGATCGTAAGGCATTTTTATTGAATACTCAAGAAAATAAAATCTCTTCTCATTGACGTGAACACTCAATGATTTGTTCTAGAAAATGGCTTGTTGTACGCAGACTATGGTGTTCCATAGCAACATTTCGTGCAGTACCACTTTATTTTGCACACTGCAGGTAGAAAACAAATTAATCAATATCCCATAAATAAATCAATCCTTTCTAATGTACCATGCAAATATACGGTCAGAAACATAGTTGGCACTTAAGTAATCACATGTCAGCAATTTTATTCATTACTTCCAACAAGTTTTGGGTAGACTTTCCCTCTGGACTCGACGCTTTTTTCGCCTTCTTCGAGAGTTCCTGGGCTTTCTCCAAATACGGCCTGCTTTCAATCCGAACCTCCTGCCATCCACCGACGGTTGCAATAATATCAGCAATATCTTTAGCCGGCATCGTCTGGGATTTCATGCCGGCAACCGGCACACACCGACCGATTCCCCACTGCTCAATCAGAGCAGCATTATTATGTTGGTCACCAAACATCGGCCATGCAACTACCGGCACACCGTACGAGACCGCTTCCAATGTACTATTCCAACCACAGTGGCTGACGTATACGCCGGTGGATTTATGCCCAAGGATTTCTTTTTGCGGTGTCCAATGCAAAATCAAATACGGCGTTTTATCAGACATGGTGTTCACAGTTGAATGGATATACTTCGGCGGGAGCATATCTTGCTGGTAGCTCCGCAGCGACCAAATGAACGGCTGCTTCAAAGACACCAGTGCTTCGGCAACTTCCGCCAGTTGTTCGGCCGAAGGAACCGCCACTGTTCCAAAGGAGAAATAAACGACGCTTCGCTCGCCTTGCTTGTCCAGCCAACTCCGGATCTTTTTCGTAATTTCGTCTTCGGGCTTTTCTTTATGTTCCGGTAAGAGCGGTCCGATGAATGCCACCGGCGTGTTAGCCATTTTTGGTAAGGTGGCTAACATGGTTTTCACGTTGGGTTCTAATTCCTCAAATGAATTGAACAGTACCTCCGTAACTAGGGTCTGCGCGTCAAGAAACTCCAGTCCCAAGGTTTTGAAACTCTCAGCGATTTTCTTGCCCTGATTTGCTAACTCATCCGTTCCGCTGAAGAACACTTCATCTGGCACCGATGGCGTGTTTTCATCGAAGGTCCCGTAGGATGCAAACAATTGAGCCGCGAATGGCACAAATCCGTACGTCAAAATTTTCCGATTACGACACGCACGCAACGGCATCGGCATGCTTAAGTCACAGAAGATGGCGTCCACAGGGGGGATGGTGGATGTCCCAGGTCGGGGGTCACTGGTGATGGCTAGGCTGTTTATAAAGCTCTCGTAGAAAGGTTTGCAATCATGAATTTGCTGAACGAAAGCTTTTAGATCACCGATGTGCTCGTCTACGTTGTAGGTAAATCCGTCGTCGAAGGTGTGCAGCTGGATCGGTGCCGGCGGGAGGATGCCGCGTCCTTCAATATCCTTGAATTTATGGATGGATAATCCAAAGGTTACGTCATGATATTTAGCAATTTTCTTGGCTAATTCCAGTCCGGGAATGTAGTGACCAAAAGCCGGCATGGTAATTACTAGAACATGTTTGCGTCGCATTGTACTGGCCATTTTACTAGATACTCAAGCAATAATGCAAAAGCAAAAAAATGAATCAAAGTTTCAGAAGGAACTCAAAACAGATAAAATTTAAAGTACGTACAGTAGTTGTAAAAACTGACTGAAGGGAAAAAATCGTGATGCAACAATATAAGTACTGAACACTTGGAAGTTGCAAACACGTGTTCTAGCGATATAACTGTACACGGCATTTATAGAAGTATTTGAGGTTGTTCTTTCTTATCTTTTGAAGTTTTGCAAAATGGATAATACGGATGCACTAGCAGGCTGCTATCTGCAAATCACTTGTAAATGTGCTTTTATCTTGTGATTAGCGAATACCGCTGCTTCAGAGTAACCGCACAATTAAGCATGTACTCGTTTTAATCTGGACAGCTGCAGTTTCTCAGCTAAACCGGATATTGTAATCTCAGGAACAGTACGTGACCTTTGATACCAGTACTGTAATTAGGGTACTGCCAAGACAGTTACATGGAGCTTTATTCACGGTAAAGTCGAGACAAAACTGTCAGCATGAGCCATAAACAATATCAATAACCTCTTCTAAAAATTTCGCCGACTGCATCCATCTATACCTCTTCCGATTCCGTTTTTTTTCCAAGCCGTGACATACATCAAACATGCCATTACAAAATCTGGCCAACTTTGCGCTCGTGACGCCACCCATCGCCACCCACCCATCACCAGTGAAGAGCTGTTCGTTAGACATAATTTTCCTACCTTTTTCCGGATCTGCAGCACAGCTGCGCTGGCTTCAGAATCCATGCAGATTTTAGCTGGCCAGATTTTGTTGCTGCATGCAATTTACCACCAGTACACGGAAGTCGATCCTTTCGGGTTGTCACCGGCTGCGTCGTAGCAGGCCTGCGGGCACATTGTACGTCCATGCTTGAACATCCGTATGTCCATTGCCCAACCAGCAATCGTTTTGTACAGGTTCAGCGAACCCCCATCCGACGTGATTTCCGATTTGATTACATTCTGATGCGGACAGTCTTTTTAATAGCCTAAATGGTTACAGTACTTACTTCAATCTGACCGTTAATAAAATACATACGTAACCATGGTTAGCAACCTTATATATACTGCATGAAATTATTCGGTAATAAGAGGCCAGGGATTGAAAGCGTAAGCAAAGCAACAGAGCGAAGAACGACCTAGCAACCTTTATGCAGCCCGAAATAAAGAATACGATTACTAATGTACGAGGTATTTACATAAGTCAACGTAGATTAAAAAATTGATTAATTATGATAGTAAGTAGTACCGTGTTGCGTAAGAAAGAAGTACTACGTGTATATGCTTTCCTAATATCTATATGTAGTTATTTTCTGCAGAAATCTCAGAGCTGGAGTTTCTAAGTTCTGTACGTGGTACTGTATCCCTTTGGTTGCAATGAATCCGGAACTGGATGTCGTACTGATTTTACATTATAAAAGAGAAGTTTTTTTTGCTTTTTTGAACTAATAACTGTAACACTTGTAATTTTCCAGCTAATTCTGCAATACGAATTTCATCACTCTACCCGTAACCCGTCTCATACTGACATATTATTATGGCTTTTTCCTTGGCAAATAAACATATTTGGATATGGGCATGGTTAGCTTCTTTTGTGGTCGAATCTAGCGCACGACGCTGCTCGTTGTGCATTCGAGACCCAAATGATATCGATGGCTCATGCAACAATCATCGAGAGTTTGTAAATTGTCCGAACACAAGTGATTACTGCGCACTCACAATTAAAATTCGTAAGTCGATACAACACCCAAAATTTTTACGATCTGTGCATTGTTGAAATACTGCAAGTAAAATACAGTATGTCTCGCAAGAATCCTGACAGCTGTATCTTCATTACTGTATTTTCTATTTGAACATGTAGAAACTTCGCTTGGTAAATTAAAAAATTTTATTGGCCACATATTTTTACTGAATTTACTTTAGTGCAATTGGATAAGTTCAAAAAACCGTTTTTTGAGCCTACTATCCAGACAGTTATATAATTACGCACGTTGTTTTGTGATAACGTCGAAGATCTTGCTGCTGCTGTCGAATTTTTAAACGACGCTGCCCATGTTAACAATAACTGTTGCCGCGTTCGTACGAGATGATAATAAATTACAATTTGCAGCAAAAATGGGTGATGGTTCGCCTATAGTAACACGACAGTGTACCAGTCCATTTTTAATACCGCTGCCCTTCAGTGATGCTTCGCTGTATTATTGCCAAAATATGCACACATCTACCGAAACTACGGTGCACTGTCTTTGCGACAGTGATGACTGTAATATCCACAGCCGCCGAAAAATTATGTCAGTTCTTAATCGGCATACCAGTTTTCTCGAACAACCTAATTCTACTTGGGTAAGTTTACAAGTGCTGCCGATCCTGTTGACGTTTCCGTCTCCGCTATATCATTGCTTGTTTTTAGTATCCATTTTCTTCATCCAGTGTGGTTCGTTCGAACGACAAAGCTGAGCTTACGGTATATACGACTGATAAAATCGTAATGTCATTTTAGTGCGTCCAAATGTATTACAACTTACAAGTTGGTAGCAGTTATATTTAAAATTATGTACCGCAGTTAATATTAATCATTATGCTCGTTAATCCTTATCACTCATCAGCGAGTTACACTGGCGAGCAAATATGTAGACAAATTGGCGCCAAAATGTTGCCTTTTTGTTATTGTCATTTTTTGCATGAGTGAGCAACTGTAAAGCGTTGAAAACTTTTTACGGTACCAACAACAATGACAATTAAAAAAGTTAAACCATCAAGTACGTATAACTGGCTTCGCTATAGGTGCACTCCGACGAGCTGACTCGCGAATTTGTCAGAGCAGGAAGGATTACTTGCTATACCTGTTCGGACCGGAACTGCCCACAACCACGGAGAACCGCTGATGTTAAACGCGGAACCTGCAACAAGTGTGAATGGCAAGTTGATTTACCCAACGGTAAAAGACGCCCGTCGCAGTTTGAATGTTTACCTACAGATACATACATTTAAAAAAGCAGAGCAAAATAGCATTTTGCTCTGCTATTTTTCTCGGTTGATACTATCAAAGACAGCCTTTAGCAGAAAGTCGCGATCGAGGGGAGGGTGCTGGCTCACCCCTTCCCGAACGAAAAACGGAAAACTGACATGCTCGAAGCTGGCGCGTCGGCTAATACGTAAAAAATCAGCTGGACGCACCGCAAAAACCTCATACTTCAAGTAGTATTACTCTTGTTACATTAATTATATAATACTGTAGTCTGTAGTAATGTAACAAAAGTAGTTTCTATGCCGCTTTTCGGTGCTTTTTTTTAATACAAAGTAGGATTTCTGAGCATATACATAGATTTCAATCTGTAAAAATTTTCCTATCCGCGTGTCAGTCACTGTGATATTATAAGCTGGCATACTTAGTATACATACCTTGTCAAAATTGATTCCTCGGCCAAAGTGTATAAGGGATAATCCAAACACCTTGCCTCGGCTATTAACTCTTCGTAGTCTTTATTCGGTACGAGTATACCTTTCTGTCAATACAGCGTTAACCCCTTACAGGAGTAAATACTCGGCGCTCATGTATCGACAGTCAGTATGACACTGGTGGAACGGGAGCCACCCCCTACATGTGCCAGCGTATCCCGGCATTTATCCCGGGCGCACATCCAGATGACGGTGATACGCCAACACCGGAGCAACTGTTGTGCCGCTGTCAAGATGCAAATCTGTGTAATTATCATGCCACGGGTGTCATGTACAGCGAGCTCAGGCCAATAAGTTTGCGGTATCCTTTTGAACAATGGGTACAGCAAGTTTCACCAGTTTACTGCAACTTTGATTTAGATATTTTATATGATGGTATAATTTTAGTTTCCGTATACTCCTTCAGACAGAACGACTACGACGACTACGACACAACGGACAACGACAACAACGCGCCCGCCTACTACGCCAACGACCACTACCACGACGACAACCCGAACAACAACAACAACAACCCCTACAACCACGACCACCACACCGCTGAACACGACTGTGACCAATATTACTGCGGTTATGCTGTCTATGGATAACACCACGAAGTCGGGATGCTAATGCAGTGACGCCCTTAAAAGAAGTTTGTCTAGCTACTGTATTTTCCAGTTCAGCGCGCTTGCTGACGTGTTGCACTCTACTGACACATTAAAATTAATGTTCCCGATTATTTAAGTAAATGTTCCCGGTTAATGTTGTTAAAGATAAAACAAAGCTTCAACAGTGCACTTACTTATTGTCCCATGAGTCCGTGACATAACACCCAAAACTTCGAAACAAAAGCGCGAATTCAGCAAGCTACAAGCGTGGAGTTTTACTTATTACATCTACGAAATTTGTTTTTGTGGACCGGAAACTTTTCTTGCTTTTTTTCGGAGAGTTCTTCAGCTTTCTGAGTATATGTAGTCTCTTGTCTGCCAGTCCCCTTGCATGCAGCGACCGTTGCAATAATTTCGACAGTACAGTTTCTGTATCTCTTGCACTCTTGCATCTCCTGCATCTTGTCTCCGACTGCATCGTTTTAAATGAACAAAACAAAATCAAGTCTTGCAGTAACGACTAGCTGTACGCACGATAGTTTTGACATTTCTCTTATGTACAAAACGCCATTTGGTCAAACAAAGTTTAACTGGCTACAGTATATGTTTACCTCATCGTCGAGTTGAAAATTATTTTTGAACCGATCATTCCAAATAATGAATCAAGTTATTTGTGGTAAACCTTAACAGAATCGATAAACAAACTGCTTTTGTTAGCAATATTGATAATATTATTACTGCCCATGGGTGTTTACTATTTTTCAGCAAATGTGGGTGATGGTGCACCTATTGTAACACCATTGTACCGTCGCCATTGTACCGGTCGAGCGTAGATTCCACTGTCATTCAGCCACGCATCGTTGTATTATTGCCAAAATATTCATAGTTCTAACGAAACTACGGTGACCTGTCTTTGCGAAAGTGATGGATATAATGTCCACATTCGTCGCAAAATGTTGTCGATTTTACTAAGGGTATCAATTTTCTCGAACATCCCGACTATACTTGGTTAAGTTATGAGCTGCGAGTCGCGTTGACCTTACAGTCTCCGCTACAGCATCGCTTGTTTTTAGTATCCGTTTTCTGCATCCAGCTTGATTCGCTGGAAACAGCAGAACTCAGACAAAGGCATACCGCTAATATAATCGTAATTTTATTTTAGTGAGACGAAATTTGCTGTTTAGGATCTTTTCTCATTAACGTCTGCCTTCGTTAGTATCGTTACCGCTTTATCGACTTTAACCATCATCATCGAAATGCACTGGCGAGCACTGAATATACGCAGTGCATAGTTTGTTTCGCCATAGGTGCATTTCAGCGACCAAGCACGCGAATCAGCCAATAAATTTTCAGTTGTTATACCTGTTCGGACCGGAACTGCCCACAACAACGGAGAGCTTCTGATGCTACACACGGGTGATGCTATATGTGTGCATGGCAGGTTTCTTTACCTAGAGGTAACCGTTAGTAATGGACGTAAAACTGGTAAATACAGATCAGGACACAAAAAGCTGGAAAAAACCGTTTTACTGCTAATTACTGTGTTTGAACGATTCCACCGCTCATGTACTCTAGCCATTGTACAGAGTGAATTATTTTCAGCGTGCTGTACTGCGTGTTATACGCGTACTGTATAATACAGTCTTCCTCGATTAATTCTCCTTATTCTTGTTCTTTGTTCTGTATGAATGCGCTATGTACTCGTACCACCGTCTTGTAGCGGAAAACAACCAGCGCACATGCATCGATAGCCAGGCCGATACTAGTGGAATGGGATCCGCCCCTTATATGTGCCGGAGTGTGGAAGAATATAATATCTGGGACGAAAATGATTTCGTCCCAGTCAACTTTACAATTACTCGGCCACGTTCGTATCAAGAGAAACTGATGTGCCGTTGTAGTGATTCAAACCTGTGTAATTATCATGCAACGGATGTCATGTACAGCGAGCTCCGGCCAATAATTAGTGGCAAACCCTTCGGGCAATGGGTACTTCTACAAAAGTTCTATCCATTTACCTGCAATTTGGATTCACGGTTATAATTGCTAATCGGATTTTTAGTTTCCATGTACTCCTTCCGACAGAACAACAACAGCTTGACTTTCGACTACTACAACCACGATTATGACGACGACAACAGTATCCACAACAATATTAATTATCACCAGCGCTCCCACTACGGCCACTACTACCGGGGCAAACACTACACATAACACAACCATGTCGGGATGCGGATGCCCACAATAGAAATTTTCCTGGACTAACTACAGATACTGTGCTTTCTGCGCTCTCTTATGTATTGGATATAAGAGTACTGTAATTGTACACTGTAGGCACATATTGTACGGTAGTTGCTGAGCGCCTATTTAGGTTTGCATTCTAATGGTATTTATTCGCAAAATTTTCCAGGTAATTTCGATATCAGCGGTTAGCGGTCGGGTAAAGTAAATGCTGGTAAAGATAAAAACAGAGTTGTAACAGTGGTTTAACCGTCCCTGATCTTCAAATGTGTTCAGCATCTTACGAATAAACGCCATAGATCTAAAAGCTCACATGTCGGCAATCTTATTCATCACTTCTAGCAAGTTTTTGGTGGATTTTCCGTCCGGACTGGAAGCGTTCTTTGCCTTGTCGGAGAGTTCCTGAGCTTTCCTTAGGAACGGGTTCTCGCCCGCCTGAGACCCCTTCCATCCACCGACCGTGGCAATAATATCAGCAATATCTTTAGCCAGAGTTGTCTGGGATTTCATGCCGGCAACCGGCACACACCGACCGATTCCCCACTGCTCAATCAGAGCAGCATTATTATGTTGGTCACCAAGCATCGGCCATGCCACTACCGGCACACCATAAGAGACTGCTTCCAATGTACTATTCCATCCGCAGTGGCTGACGTAAACGCCTGTGGATTTATGCGCCAAAATTCGCTTTTGTGGGGTCCAGTGCAAAATCAAATATGGCGTCTCATCGGACATGGTTTCCACGGTTGAACGGATATACTTCAGCGGTAGCATATCCTGCTGGTAGCTCCTCAGTGACCAAATGAACGGTTGTTTCAAAGACACCAGTGCTTCGGCAACTTCGGCCAGCTGTTCGGCCGATGGAACAGCCACTGTTCCGAAAGAGAAATAAACAACGCTTCGCTCGCCTTGCTTGTCCAGCCAGCTCCGGATCTTTTTCGTAAACTCGTCTTCGGGCTTTTCTTTATGTTCAGGTAGTAGTGGCCCGATGAACGCCACCGGTGTTTTAGCGAATTTAGGCAGCGAATTCAGCATGACAACTGCTTCCGGCTCCAGTTCCTCGAAGGAATTAAACAGTACTTCCTTCACCAAGGCCTGCGCAGAGCCGAAGTCCAGTGCCAAGCTTTTAAAGCTTTCCGCCATCTTCCCGCCACGGTTAAGTGATTCATCAGTGCCGCTGAAGAACTCCTCGTCCGGAACAGACGGTGTATTCTCGTCGATAGCTCCGTATGACGCAAACAGTTTGGCCGACAACGGTACAAATCCATACGTCAGGATGTCCCGATTGTGGCACGCTTGAAAGGGCATCGGCATGGTTGCGTCGCAAAAAATCGCATCCACCGGGGCAATGGCGGACGTCCCTGGTTTTTGGTCACCGGTAATGGTTAAGCTGTTAATAAAGTTTTCGTAATATGGTTTGGAAACGCAAAGTTGCTTGACAAAACCCGTAAGGTCACCGATATGTTCGTCCACGTTGTAGGTGAATCCGTCATCGAAGGTGTGCAGCTGAATCGGTGCCGGTGGCAGGATACCACGTTCTTCAATATCTTTAAATTTATGGATGGATAATACAAAGGTTACGTCATGGTGCTCGATAATTTTCTTGGCTAACTCCAGTCCGGGAATGTAGTGGCCAAAAGCCGGCATAGTCATCACTAAAACATGTTTGCGTTTCGTTGCTGCCGCCATTTTAAAAGTTACTGCAGCTTTGAAAGGATTCAAAATAAGGATAATAAATAAAAGTAAAGAGAACGGATGACAGAAGCGAGCACGACTGCAGAGGTGGCGTTGCAACATAAGTTGAACTGCAACCCCAGTAGAATCCACGTGCGATGAAACGTATGCACGAGGTTTCAGTGTCAGTCTTGTTCTTATCGTCGAAACTATTGCAAATAATTAGATTTTGTAGATTAAATAATTTTGGTACTAGAGGCTCTTTTACCTTGGTAGCCGATTGAACAATTGCTTAAAGCTTTATCTAAACTGTAATTTAATTGTAGCTCCGATAACAGTTGCTATTGTAATCTCTTAATTAATACAGTTTGTACAATACAACTGGCATGCACGATGATATACTTAGATCGTGCTAACCGAGAACGGAGCAAATTTTGGCGCTGATGGTCAGACTGCTAGTGTACTGTAATGTTGCATATTAAGTACAGTAAATGCATAATGCGTTGATGCAGTAATGTCGTCCCCAAGAAAACAAACGAACAAATAAAATTAGCCAATGCCATCTTTCAGAATCAACATGCTGCAACCAAATTTCCGTCTAATTACGGTGACAAATAATTTACTTTCAGTAGTTCACGTTGAGCTTGGTTAATTACAAAAATATCACAAAATCTAAACCACATACTCTAGAAGCTGTTTAAAATCTGCAGTAAATTTCTCGTTGATTGGCCATCCACTGCGACGGCATTTTTCGCTTTCTGAGATAACTCATTGACTTTTTCCCAGTATGCACTGCCGGGTCGTTCACTTGTCCAACCTCCGACCGTTTCAATAACTCCAGCAATATCCGCAGCAGGCGTAATTTCTGATTTCATCCCTGCTGCGGGCATCATCTTTCCAATGCCCCATTTTTCCACCAATCCCGCATTATGATGCTGATCACCTAGCATAGGCCATGCCACAACCGGCACGCCATACGCCACCGCTTCCAGCGTACTATTCCATCCGCAATGGCTGACAAATACCGCCGTGGCCGGATGGGTGAGGATTTGCTTCTGTGGGGTCCAGTGAAGGATCAAATAAGGCATGTCGTCCGTGAGGGTTTCGACGGTGCCACGAAGAAATTTCTCTGGTAGAAGACTCTGCTGATTACTGCGCAATGACCAGACGAACGGCCGCTGCAGTGACAGTAACGCTTCGGCCACTTGGGTCAGCTGCACGGACGAGGGAACTGCAACCGTTCCAAACGAGAAATACACCACACTGCGTTCTTCTCGACGATCCAACCAGCTACGAAGCTTGTTCGACAAATCGTTGGACTGGTCGTTCACGGTTGGCAAAAGCGGACCAACAAAGCACACTGGTTTATTGGCATACTTTGGTAAACTTTTTAGCGATACCAATGCATCAGGTTCCAATTCATCGAACGAATTCAGCAAAATTCCTGTCGCCACTGACTGGGCTCTGTCGTACCTGTCTTGCATATTTTTAAAACTCTCAGGAATTGTATCACCTTGGTTGAATGATGCATCCGTCCCACTGAAGAACACATCGTCCGGCACAGTCCGCGTGTCCTTATTCATCACGCTGTACGCAGCGAACATCTGCGCGGATTGCGGCATGAAACCGTAAATCGGGATCTGACGTTGCACGCTGGGCTCGAACGGCATGGGCATGGTTATATCACAGAAAATCGCATCCACCGGGGGAAGTTTTCCGGCGCGCTTGGAAGCAGCGTTAGATACCGTTAGGCTGTTGATGAAGGTTTCGTAATAAGGCTCAGATTGCAGGTTAGCGACGGAGAATCCGCGGAGATCCCCCATGTTTTCGTCGATGTTGAACGTGAAGCCGTCATCGAAGGTGTGAAACTGGATTGGGGATGGAGGCAGGAGATCGCGTTGTACAATGTCCTGCAGTTTGTGAATGGACATTACCATGGTGACATCATGATGCGGGATGATCTTTTTAGCTAACTCCAGGCCAGGAATGTAGTGACCAAAGGCCGGTAGGGCCATAACCAGCACGTGCTTACGTTGCTGTGGGGCCATTCCGGAATTATCACCACGGGAATAGCACAAATACTGACAGCTGGATTCAAAGCTGACTGTAGAGGATATATTAATTTTAACGTTTGCTTTGCAAATGGTAGGTACGAGGTGCGTAAATAATGGCAGTACTACAGAACTGAGAAAGCGATAGGTGGTAAGTACTACTGTAAGGAAATTATTACAGTACTGATTTTCGGTTTCAGCTTTTAAACAATCGTTATCAAACGCGCCAGACAGACATACTACTTGTACAGGTGTGAGGTGGATAAATGAAGAAAAGCCGTCTGACGTGGTGGTTGCTGAATCTGAAAGGTACGGTACCATATCATCGATATGGTACTCGTTAACGTTGACTCGCACCGGTATTGCTGTTTCAGAATTCAAGCCGAGCACATGGGACGTGTCGACGAGTTTCCGTACTAACCCGTACTTGTCAGTTCTTAATGCTTATTACGCTTACGTTTAATGGTTAATGGTGCGATACTGAAAATGAATTCACCGATCCGCTCTATTCCACCCGCAGAAAACGCGGTAAATTTTGTTGTGCTAATATTGTTGTTTTGCATGTTTTGCATAACGATGAACGTCAAAATTAAAACTTTTGCAATACGCGGTTCATTAGCTACAGACTACAGATATTTATTACTTATTAATTTTCAGTGTACGTACATTTAACTTAACACTGGGAAACGAAGCGGACTAATTTTTTGATTTGGTCTTAATGCTGAAATACTAGGGTACTACGGATACTCTCTAAAAAAATTTCTAGGGTACAGTAATTCGATTTCCGTCTCGTTATTATCGTTTAAATTGTACCCACATGGCCACATCTAGAGTCGATGCTCGTAGTGTTGTCATCCAAGGAATAACCGTTAAACCGTAACCGGATGAAAGCTGTTACAATGAAATTTGAATGTTCAAGGAAAAGCAAAGGGCCACTGTTATCACTTTTTTCGATAATTATGGTTTTAATAACTAGGAAAAAAAAACAGTATTACTGCCAGTCTAAGGCTGATCCAGAACTGTTATATTAGCACTCAGACGAGTGGTATTATAAGCTCTTCACGATATCCCGCATATTTTGCGTCGATGATCCGTCACTTGAAACGACTTCCTTTGCCTTATCCGAAATTATCCCAATATTTTTTCCAAACGGCGACCGACCTTTTTCACCATCCACAAATCCACCCACTTCTTTCACTGTGGCGACAATCTGTTGCGTTGGCACCAGCGTGGGTATCCATGTACCGGTTCCCGGCATGATTCGTCCTATTCCCCGTTGTTCCACGAATGCCGCATTCAGCGGCTGGTCGCCAAAAAACGGCCATGCTACAATTGGCACTCCATAGGACGCCGATTCTAGCGTACTATTCCACCCGCAATGGCTGATGAATACACCGGTTGCCTTATGCGCTAGGACGGCTTTTTGTTGCACCCAAGGGACGATCAGGTAACTCAACTCCATCGAGAAATCTTCGCCGGTTAACCGCTGAACGATGTCAGGTAAATGATCCTGCTGACTGGGACGAAGTGCCCAGATAAAGGGTTGCTTCAGAGAAACCAACGCATGGCCAATTTCAACCAGTTGCTCTTTTGAGAGCATCGCCACGGAACCAAACGAGCAATACACCACACTCCGCTCTTTTTGTCCATCGAGCCACTGGATGACCTTTGTCGACAGCGAAGCGTCCGTTTGTACCTTCTTGTCTCGCTTCTCTTCAGTTGGCATCAATGGTCCGATGAACTTAAACACTTTATCTTTTGCGAAAGGAATTTGCTGGAGTTCTTGCAAGCCGGTTGGTTCGAGTGCCTCAAATGAATTCAATAAAACTGCTTTGCAGTTTTGGACCGCGTTTTGCAAGTGCAAGCAAAACTGCTTCCAACTTTCCGGAAGAATGAATTGTGGAGACTTTTTTTCGCTATTGTACTCAGGCGCGCTGGCTAACATAGCGTCATCCGGAACCGCGGGTGTCCCTTCGGTAATACTGAACACACCGTTCGCCCAGAAAACCGGCATGTTGCTAACAATGTAGACGGGGATATTTTTGTCGTAACACGGTTGGCACGGAGCAAAGTGGAAGACGTCACAGAACAGTGCGTCAACGTGCGGTAATGGTGCATCTTTACCGTTTAAGATTGAGATGAATTTAGCATAAGGTGGAGCTTGTTCGTTCATGACAGCGAACATGATTTTAAAATCCGGCAGGGTATCTTCAAAATCTAAGCTAAACTGATCATCCAGCGGGTAAAAACGGATGGGCGCCGGTGGTAACAGGTGGCGTTGTCTGATGGCCTTTTCCATGGTGTTCGAAACGATCATTGTCACATCGTGGTAGGGAACAATGCGTTGCGCCACTTCCAACATGGGGATGTAGTGGCCAAATGCCGGGTATGATGTTACAATAACATGCTTTCTGGTCGACATGATTGGAGTATGCGGGCGCTTACGCTAAGTAAAAACGGTTGGATTGCGGGTTTCGAGATCAAGGCAAACCGGTATCGCAACGGAAAAAATTAATAGCGCACGTAAACTGCAAAATTTGACTGGATTCTCGTTATTAATATGCTTGCCGCATGAAAGTAATTCTAGTTCGAGATTTCTTCATGGGTTGTTTTAGATAAGGATTTCATGGGCACTTGTTACATTAACCGTACTACTAGCCGCAATACTGATCTTAATTGCATATACTTCATATACTTAATTGCATATACTTAATTGCATATACAATGAAGTACAGATACTCATTCGCTGTACATAAATTGCACTGCTTCATTATCCTTGTGATTAGATACTGAACACAGACAAAGGTACTCTAAATCTTTTCTGTCCCCAAAGCGCGAAAAGGGATAATCCTGATAACGAAAGCGATTACAGTTAGTACTCGTACGGTACATTGTATGATTGTACCGGCGACCCTCGGCAAGCAGTAAACGTAAGCGATAAAACGATAAAATACTTCAATTAAATTCTTAGGACATATAAGGTATATTACTTAATGCATACAACTGACTCGCATTCCGCAGACTTGAGTAGTATAACGAAATTATAATTATCATAAATAAAGGCCAGAATTTACAAGCTACCCAAGTACTGTATATCAAACGAAACACTAGAGTAATCCATTGCAAATCATGGTAGATTTAACTAAGTGGTTAGACCATGTCCATCGCTACAGCTGATATGACTAAAAAAATAATTGGTACATAGTACATACCCAAAAATGGAGACTTGTTATTACATGTAAAATTGTCTAATTTTTCGCGGCACGCGTAATTAATTTACATGGAGAGCTGATAACAAAATAAAAAATATTTAAAAGATCAGTCTTAAATTAATTAATAAAGTAGCATTTACTGTTTTCTACACAAGCCATTGCCGCTAATGTAACAGCAGCCGTGAATAACGCTATTTCTATCGAATACTTTTTTATATCCCAAGGCAAGCAAACATGTTTTTTGAACATGTATGCTTGACCAAAAAAGTGGCAATTCGTAGACAAACTCGGTAAGTAATTACAAAACATGCAATACCAAAATACAGGCATCAATAATTTTTTAAATAAGAAGATTGAACATCAAGCGGTTGAAAGACTATTTAAAATACTCATCAAATTTTGAATTGACGAGCCAGTCGGCGAAATGACCTCAGCTGCTTTCCCTGCCAGTTTCATCGAATTCTCCCTAAACTGCGGGCCACTCTTTACGGTCCCGTTAAACTCTCCCACTCGTTCCACAGCGCCGGCAATTTCTCCCGCCGGAACCAATCGGACATCGCGCATACCCGTTCCGGGAATGGTCACCGAGGTTCCCAGCCGTTCCAGCAGGGCCGCATTGAAGTGTTGATCACCGAACATTGGCCAGGCAACGATGGGTACACCGTAGCACACCGCTTCCACCGTGCTATTCCAGCCGCAATGACTAACGAACACAGCGTTGGCTGGGTGCGACAACAAGGCTTTCTGTGGTGCCCACGGAATAACCAAATAATCAGAATCCATAGAAAAATTCTCTTCGGTCGACCGCTTAAAGTTCTCTGGAAGGTGCACCTGTTGAAGCGGTCGCAATGCCCAGACAAAAGGTCGCTTCAAGGAGACCAAGTAGATACAAAAGCCTCTATGCCGTAAGTAAACAAATCGTAAAAACCTCTTTCGATAGGGAATCAGGGAGAAGTTCAAAGTCGTTAAATGTTCTTATGTAAACAAACTTTTGATAGGGAATCAGGGAGAAGTAAAAAACACTATGTACACACACCTGTGCAAACACATTCCACATTTTATTACCGTACATTCCGTACTTTACGAGCACACTGACCGGCAAGAGACACAGAACAGAGAGAAGATCATTTCAAATGTCATAACACAAAATCGGAGAAGAGCGTAATTATCTTTCTCACAACCATCAAGATCAAAGAAGAGTAAAAACTATAAAAAAACTAACAAAAAATCACAACTTCGTATGGCTAGCGGTGTAAAACAGAATACTGACTGTAATTTGGTCAACAGTTGAGATTCATAAAAGTAAAAATCTGTACATAAATCTTTTTGTAAAAAACATCTACAATTCGTAAATGTTCTCATTACGGACGTGCATCTGTATCGCATCATCGGGTTCAGCAAGTCGCTCCAGAGCGGGGCCGTTCTGTTTCTTGGCACACTTTTTCACCACAAAACAGGCACACGCAACGAAAGTTCCAACACAAGCAACCGCACCAACGCAGAAATACAAAATGTTAGTGGTACTCATCTCCGCGTCTTCATCCACACTAGTGCTCGTCTCTGATGGCATGACATTTGCAGTTGATCCAGCAGTGTCGGTGGTGATGTAAGGAGCATGTGTAGTGGCTGGAATCGTCGGAGAACCAGTGCTAGCCGATGTGCCAGTTCCACAAACAGAGATGACACGAAATTTCACAAACGGTGGCGGAGTAACGCACTCATCGATAGGATTTCCAGACAAATCAACAGACATCAGACCAGGAAAGTAAACGGACAGACCATAGTAAGGGATGACACGAACGGAATTTCCGCTGAAGGCAATATGACGAATCCAGGTTTTCGGCTCGGTGGGATAAGGGATCGCTGACAGTTCTCTACCTGTACAGTTCACAATACCAGTATCATAACTGCACAGACATTTCCCGTAACACTGGATCCATTTTCCGCACTCCACACCACTGCACAAGCACAGCAAGACGAACAAGACAGAAACAAACGCCATTTTCGGTAGAAATCAGAAGATAACAAAAGAACTGAAAAAAATCACCACTAGTCACCACACACTGTCAGTACAAAACGCTAGTCCGAACAGTCATTGCATGTGCTGTATGGTATCGGCGCTGCCGGAAATGCATTTCGCACATCGTACTGCTGCCTAGTGGTAGGCCAATGCACACAGACTTCGTTTAGCGTCAAAATGGTAATGTTAATTCAAGTCAATATCATGGCGTCAAAAATGGCGTCAAAACATAAATCGCATAAATCATTCATATTGATATATTTCATGCAACAGTCGTTGCACTATCATAGTCCACAGTGGTGGCGACTTTCGAAATTTGTGCATGCAACAGCCATACGATCATGATCAGTTTTCCTGCGAAGTGTCCTTTCAATTATAAAGGTGCCTATCACGGCATATACACTTGTATTTGCCATGGTATGCACCTCTATAAAATAAAAAGGAACACAGATGCCGCCTCGGAAGTCCGGTTATCCTAAACACTTCTGCCATAAAATAAAAAATCGGACCATTCCATTATAGAGATGCCTTCCACGCCATATGCAGACGCATTTACCGTGTAATGCATCTCTGTAAACGAATGAAAAAACAATAGTTAACAATAATGGTGCCATCCACAAGTAGAATATCCTAAACAATTTTGCCATAAACATATCGCATCTATAACCATGCATTCGGCGAACTGTACATAGGAATGGACAGGTCACGGAACGCACGGCTGTAAACATAACGGCTAGTGAATAATCAGCGACGACCAGTGCATCGGCGGAAGCAATCCATCCAAATTTAATCCGTCTCGCGCATCGATAGACTAAAATGATGTTTCGAAAACTTTTCTATCTGAAAGGTGCGAAGCAGTTGCTTTTGCCTGATCCCACCCCACTTATTGTCGCTGCTCTTATCCGAGCAGATCAAGAGGCGGGTATACCGATCTATATTATTCTAACAAATGACCAGTAGCCAGTAGGCTGTGCAAGCCATTGGCTGCACTATGTAAACAAGTTCGCGTTAGATTCTGCCGCATAACCGGCTTTTCATTTCATTCTTTTTCAACAATCATTTGAACTTTTTCTTCAGTTTAATTTTTGAATATTTCACTCCAAAATGGCGTTCAGTGGCGTTGTTGGTGCTCTTTATCCAACGGGTCATGTCATGGGGTTTCCTGATGGAATTACGTATTTTATGCCAGCAACGGCAACTGAGGACACCTACATCCGTGAAATTTATACTGCATTGAAGAATCGTTTTGCACTTGCAGCTGAAGATTATCCGTTTTTGAACATGGCAGTTAGAGTGCAGTTTGAGCGTGTTTCAGAAATGCAACGCCTCGCCGAATTGGTTTTTAAATTTGTCAAGCCAGTGGAACAGCTTGCCGAGATTCAGCAGCGATTTCCTGACCGTACGTTCAACAAGGTGGCTCTGGCGTCCTGGAAGTACATTGTCCGCGACTTAGCCCACGGCCGGATGCGTAACTATCTGAAGTGGAAACTGCGTAAGTGGGAAGGTGAAGTTGAAGAACGGAGGCTGCAGCATGTCCGCGTGTATATCAGCATTACAGCGGAAATGCCGGACAAGACTGGACTGAAGATCTACGCATCATGTGGCACGGATGATGAACAGCTGCAGTCGTACCAGAACATCGATTTCTATTACAACGTGTGCCAGGTACACGAAGCAATGATTCGTCTAAATCCTATCTACGGCTTTCCAACGCAGGACCCGGAGTACGAAGAGGAAGAGCCAACCAATTCGAACCGGGTGTGGCCACCAATGGACCCAGCTTGGGGTGATTACGGCATCCTGAACAACCACTGTCACTATATCAACAACAACGACTGTTGCCACTGCTGGTAAATATTTCATCCTTCATTTGTCATTTTGAATCGTACAAAAGGATCAATTTTTTCGTAGAATTTTTTTGCCACAATGGATACACCGTTGCCACCTGTTTACGTGCCGGACGATCCTAATGGGCAGCCAAAGCCACATGGGATTCTGTTCTGGATGCTCTTTTACGTTGTGCCTTTTCTGTTTTCTCAAACAATGCGCATTATTACTGTTATCGCACTAAAAGTTACTAACCGCATTCCTTTAAAATCAGTTGTTATGCCGCTTGTTACTTTTTTATTTGACGGTACACGTCAGTTATTAGGATTTGGCAGCAACAATCTCAGCAATGGAGATCCTTCTACATAACGAATTTTTACATCCGACTTCGATGCTTATTTCTGGTAATTCTGGCTGCGGCAAATCAACGTTCGTGGCTAATTTGTTACGTTATAATAAATTCTCAGCAAAAGTTGATCGGGTTTATTGGTTCTACAAGCAGTACCAGACATTGTACGACGATTTACTTAGAGAAGGCGTACCTATTATTTTCATCGAAGGATTACCGGACGAAATTTCTGAACCAAGATATTTTGATAAAAATTTCGTTA